GTTTTAGTTTGCTTTGGGGACTTCATAAAATTTTTTCTTTACTATTTGGCTCTCCTTCTCTCCTCAACCCCTAGTTCTACGTTCTCCTTCCCCAAATTTTATTGCTAAATATTCTTTTTTTTAAAAAAAATCCTGTCCCTTTCAATTTTTCATTGACTTTTAAGTGTCTCATTATTCTTCAATATAATACCAATGAACTATACTTGAAGCTCTCGGTGTTGACTCACAGTGACCCTGCAGGGCAGAGTAGACTGCCCCTGGGATGTTCCAAGGCTGTAACTCTTTCCAGAAGATAAAAGTCTGGTCTCTCTCCCTTGAAGGGACTGGTGGTTTCGAACTGCCCACCTTGCAGATCACAGACCAATGCAGAACCACTATGCCACCAGGACTCAATTGAATTATAAAATGTATGTTTTATTTTAAAATACCATAGAATCACTTTTAAAAATTATTCCTTACATATTATATAGGCACTTAGCCATAAAATGTCTTAAAACAATTTGAAATCTGTATAGAACCTAATGTACATGATTCAGAGTTTAGCATTTCTTGTACTAAATTAAATTTTTATTTGTATTAGTATTCGTAGTGCATGTTTTCACTCATTATTTATTGCAAATAGTGGAGATTAGTTATGACTGATGAAAACAAAAAACAACTTCATTTATTGCTGTTGATTGATTCTGACTCAGCTACCCAAGAGGCTAGTAGAACTGCCCGGCAGGGTTCACAAGGCAGTACTTTTTGCTGAAGCTGAGTGCCATTCTTTGCCCCATGGGTTTGAATGGACCTTTTATTCAGCAGCCAAGCACTTAATGGCATCATTAGGGACCCTGTTATTAGGACTTCCAGGTGAAATTTTCTTAAACAGAGATGTAAACAGTGTTCACTTAAGGGTACCCTTTTAAAAAATATTGCTTGCAAATTTCAAAGTCAAATTAGGAATAAATGATCAAATGAGACCTTGATGTTTTAATTAAAATCGATATTTTTACTGTTTTCTTTATCCCCTTCTAATGTAATTTAGTATTAAACCATTGGCTCAGAAATGTAACAGTAATTTGAGTATTTATAATATTCTTTATCTTATTATAAAATTTTCTAATATTTAACATTATCTGTACATAAACATTTCTTTAGCCATTATGAAGGATCCGTTTTATAAAAGGGTATTGATTTTCTAGAATTTATCTTCTCAATAATAATTGATATGACTTAGAATTGGTCAAAGATGACTTTAAGACAATTGTTTTAAGACTATAAGTATAAATTGAACATTACGATTTTCATTTTAATGTTTTTAAGTATTCTTTTGTGATGTGACCTTCCATGAAATAAAGTTAGAAATCACAAAATCTGTAGTATATCTTAAAAATTCTAGAGAAAGGCAAAGAAGGGTAAATGTGATGAGGAAGAATAAATAAGACTTGCAAAATTTTAAGAAGCTGCTTCACCCAGATTTAGCATGTTTCCTTTTATTGTGGACTAATATTCCACTTCATGAATATACATCTTGTTTACCCATTCATCAGTTATGTACATTTGGATATTTTGTACCTTTTGACTATTATAAGTAATGCTTTAGAAAAATTTGCGCACAAAACATTTTCAGTTATTTTGTGGACATATGTTTCTAGTTATTTGTGGTTTATTCCTAGAAGTGCAATTGTGGGTTATATAGTAACTCTATGTTTAACTTTTATTTTTGTAACTGCCAAGCTGTTTCAAAAGCAACAGTACTATTTTATATCCCCGCTTGCAGTGTATAAGGGTTTCATTGTCTCCATATCTACACCAATACTTTATTTTCTTTTTTAAAATTATAGTTCTCCTACTAGGTATTTAATAGTATCTCATTGTGATTTTGATTTGCATTTCTCTGATGAATAGTGACATTGAACAACTTTTCATGTACTTAATGCACATTTGTATCTCTTGGCCAGAGATATTATTTGCATTTTTATCCAATTGTTAATTTCTTACTTGCTTTATTATTGTTGAGTTGCAAGAGTTCATTTTGTATTTTGCATAGCAGATCCTGATCAGGGTCCCTGGTAGAAGAGTCAGTTATACTGTGGGCTGCTAAGCACGATGTCAGCAGTTCAGAACCACAGGATAACGTGAAGCTTTCCACTCCCATAGAGTTACAGTCTCTGAAACCCAGAGGGGCAGTTTTACTCTGTCAGATAGAGTCACCATGAGTTGAAATCAACTCAATGGCAGTGAATTTGGAGTATTTTTGAGACTCTTATCAGATACATGGTTTGATTGTTCACTATCTGTGTGTTGTCCTTTCACTTTATTAATAATGTCCTTGTATACACACAGTTTTTAATTTAAAAAACCTCTAATTTATGTATTTTTACTCTTTGTTTGTACTTTTGATAGCTTATGAAGGAAACCATTACCTATGAAAGGTCATGTAGATTTATACTTATATTGACGTTAAGGCTTTTATGTTTCGATGATTTGATCCACTTAGAGCTAATTTTGTCTCAGGTGTGAATTAGATGCCAAATTCCTTTTCCTAATTGAATAGTCTTGGCATACTTGTTGAAAATTAATTGAGCAAATGTGTATGGGTTTATTTCTAATTCTTAAGTCCATTTTAATTCATGTATGTGTCTATTCTTAAGCCTCTACCATACTGTTTTTATTATAGCTTTGTAGGAAGTTTCAAAATTGGGGAGTGTGAGGCTTTCACCTGTGGTTTCATTTTTTTTTTAATTACTTAAGCTATTTTTGGTTTCTTGGATTTCCATACATATTTTAGAATCATCTTGTCAATTCCCACAAAGAAGGAAGTTGGAATTTTGAGAGATCCCCTTGAGTCCATAGGTCAATTTGATGAATATTGCCCCGTAACAAGTCTCTCAATCTATTAACACAAAATTTCTTTCCATTTGCATCTTTTAAAATTTCTTTCAATGATGTTTGTAGTTCTGAAACATATGTGTTGCATTTCTTTGATTAAGCATATTTTAATGATTTACTATTTTGGTGCTACTGTAAAAGGACAAATTAAAAAATTTTTTCATTGCTAATACACAGGTATACACGTGATTTTGTTTGTTAATCATGTATACTGCAATTGTACTGGGCTCATTTATTAGTTGTAATAGTTGTTTTGTTTTTGCAGTCTTTGCTTTTCCTCTATTATAAAGCCATATAGTAATCTATAAATAGAGGTAATTTTACTATTTTCTTTTATTTTGATATCTTTTGGTGTTTTCTTGCCAAACTGTCCTGAATAGAACCTCTGATACGATGTTGAAGTGGCTG